GCCGTGATGGGAAACACGAGCAGGGCCCTTCCTTGGTGGGCTTAACTATGCATGCTCACACCCACACCGCGTTTGACCCTGGCCCGGGAGCTGCAGGGTGGGGTGAAGGCATATGGAGGGGGGTGGGGAGAAAGAGCGAGCTGGGTTCTAAGTCTGGTCGTGTGGTCCTGTCGCTTTCCTTCTCCCAGCCTCAGAGTTGTTTGTTGTCTGCAAAATCGGGATTCACTGCAAAGAGACCTGGAAAGCCCCGGCACGTGGTCACTGTGGAGCCCCATTTTGCAGAGAAGGAAATGATGCCAAGAGACTCTTCAGCTGATGAAGGACTTGTACCAGGATCTCAGCTCTGGTCCCCAGCAGGCTCTTGCCAGACCCCACTGCCTCTTCCCACTCCCCACTTCCTGGATCCCTGCTGTTTCCAGCCAAGATTGTGGCACTGGGTGACATAAAGCTTTTGGAGAGAGCAGTGTCTGTCTGGGAGCTTTCCAGCCCATGGTTACTAACCTATGTCAGATGTCCTCTGTTTCCAGTGGGGGTGTGTCCTGATGAATCCATCGTAGATGGAAAATATCATAAGTCAAAATGCATTTAATACACCTAGCCTACCTAGCACCCAGCTTAGCAGGACTGTACGCTGAAGAATCTCAGCTCTTTGCCCTTGGGATCCCGTGGCCAATGGAGCTGCATGCCCAGCACTGCAAGAAAGGATGCGACCGCCTGTTGCTAGACCAGGAAGAGATCCAAATTTGAAATGCAAAATAGGGGTTTCTACCGAACGCCTAGGACTTCACCACCATCGTAAAGTCGAAAACTCACACGTCAGAGACTGTCTGTAGCAGTTAGTGTCCTAAAATTCATATCCACCCAGAACCTCAGACAGGGACCTTATGTGCGATGTCAGGGTAGGTCCTAAATCTAACAGGACAGAGAGGGACACACAGAGTCACCAGGAGGGCTGTCACGTGGAAACAGAGGTTGAAGTGATACAGCCACAAGCCAAGGGTTGCCAGGAGCCACCATGAGGTGGGAGAGGCAGGAGGGACCCTCCCCTGGAGCCTTCTCAGGGAGCAGGGCTCTGCCAACACCTGGGTTTTGGACATCCAGGACTGTGAGGGAATAAACTCTTGTTGTTTTAAGCATCTGGTTTGTGGTGATGGCACCACCGGGACCCTGAGATGGGAATGACCTGGGGTATCGACCTGGAGCACCTGTGGACAAGAGGCAGCCCGGATGGACCAGAGCCGACATGGGCACGGGCTCAGCCACTCCCTTGTCAGCTCTGCCTCTTTGCTTCCTTTGTAAAAGACAGAGCGTCGGATCCTGCGGACCGGTGCGGAGAAGGCGGGTCAGAGCATGCGCAGTGGTCCTCATAACCAGATGCGGAGCCCCAAGCGCAGCTGCGTGGGTGGTGGGCTCTCTGCTCGTGAGCCATCAAGAGTTAAAGATCCCCTCCCCCAAGGTCATACAGCTACTGGGGGCGCAGAGCTGGGACTCCTGCTCAGGCCATCAGACTCCAAAATGCCCCACCGCTGCCGCAGGACGTTGGGATTACAGGTGTGCTCCACCACGCTGGACTCCCCGGCCACTCCTTCAATGTGAGAATCCACTACAGGGAATTGCCTTCCTCCATGGGGGTTTGATTGCTGGAGGGGGAACAGATTTTGGCCATGGACAGTTCCCCCAGGGCCCAGGTGATGGAAGGGTATGTGACTTTCCAAATTCCATTTGCTGGAGAACTCAGGGCCAGGAGAGCCCAACGGAGGGACAAAGCCTGTCACAGGGGCTCCTGGGAATTGTCACTATTCCTGAGGTCAAAGAAGGCAGGAGCTGTCTTCAGGGAAGTCTGCAAGTCACAGTGTCCCCGTCCCCATGCAGGGGTGCCAGGCCAGGGCTCCAGGTGGCTGGAGGGAGACACACAGGTAGAACCAGGCAGGGCAGCTTTCCAGATGCAGGCTTGGACCTGAGGACAAAGACCAGCCCCAGGCAGCAGGACTGAGTGTGGGGTGGGGCGCTGAGCCTCAGGGGGGTGCTGGAGAGTCAGAGATGAGGGGTGTGTGTGGTGCTGGCCTCAGTAAAGCAAGAACATCTCCTTCTCCTACTGCAGCCCTCCCCCTGTGAAAGCCCTGAGACTGTTACCTCCTTGAGAACCCAGCCATCCACTCCAGAAATGCAGCCTGAAGGAACCTGGATGTGGGCAAAGATTTCGCTTTGGGAATGCACACAGGGAGGGGAGGGGGAACCACCCAAAGGCCTGCAGACTGGTCCTGTGATTCGTGATGGAGCCCCACGCAGAAAGCCACCCAGCCTTGCCCACGACCGCTGAGCAAGAGCATCCGAGGACAGGCGAGAGAGAGAGAGAGAGAGAGAGAGAGAGAGCGCGATTGTAATGTGTGCTAGTGAGAAGAGGGCAAGAAACCCGCAAGACTCCGTAGGACCAAAATAAGACGTGGGATGGCAGATATATGGAGATACATGTGTGTGCATATACATAGACACATGCATATGTTAACATTTTCAGTCACTAACATTTTAGTATACATTTTTTTCAGTATTTAAAAAATAGGCGTGTACATATATATAATTATACATGTTGCCTATATAAAACTATACATGCAGGTTGAGTATCACTTTTTCCCAAATGCTTGGGACCAGAAGTGTTTCCGCTTTCAGATTTTGGAACATTCGCACATACATAATGAGGTATCTTGGAGAAAGAGGACTCAAGTCTAAACAAAATTTATTTATGTCCCATCTATATTTTATACATAGAGTCTAAAGGTAATTTTATGCAAAATGTATGTATATGCAATATGCATATATATGTAGTGCTGTTTATGCAATATGTATATTATTTTTGTGTATATATATATATATATATATATATATTTTAAAAATTTTTTAGTTATTGATAGACCTTTATTTTTATTTATTATATGCGGTGCTGAGAATCAAACCCAGTGCCTCACACATGCCAGGCAAGTGTGCTACTGCTGAACCACAACCCCAGCCCCCCCTTTTTATTTTTTAACAGGGTTAAGCAGGGTGTCCCTAAATTGTTCAGGGCCTCCTTAAGTTGCTGAGGCTGGCCTTGAACTTGCAATCCTCCTGCCTCAGCCTCCTGAGTTTTATGCAGTATTTATAGTGTGCCTGCATTTTGACATGAGGTCAGGTGTGGATGTGGCATCTTGTTGGCACTCAGAATGTTTTGAACTTTGGAATATTTCAGATTTCTGATCTTCAGGTTACGAATCTTCCGTCTGTGTTGCCCTGTATGGCCATGCTACGTGTATAAGTCATGTAGATGACTGTATAACTGTGTCTATAGATAAAGGTTAGACAAACATACTGGAGGACACAGGACAAGATTTTAATGGTAGCATATGTGGTGATACATACATGCACACATGTGCAAACATACACCCACACATGCATACAGTCATGGGTTGAAAATTTCATGTGTTGAAACCCTAACCCCTAATGGGCTGTATTTGGAGATGGGTCCTTGAAGGAAGTAATTAAGGTTAAATGAGGTCAAGAGGGTGCAGCCCTGATCATATAGTTCTGGTGTCCTTAAAAGAAGAGACACGAGGTAGCTGGGGCTGGGGCTCAGTGGTAGAGCGCTTGCCTAGCATGTGTGCGGCTCTGGGTTCAAGTCTCAGCACCACAGATAGATAAATAAAATAAAGGTCCATCAACAACAACAACAAAATTTTAAAAAGAGAGAGAGAGAGAAAAAAAAAAAAAGAAGAAGAGACATCAGAGAATTGCTCTCCATTCCTCACCCCTACCCTATGCACATACCAAGAAGAGGCCCGGCCGGGGTGGGGGGGGACAAAAGCCAAGAAGAGTGTCCTCTTCCAGAACTGTGCCAAAGTAAACTGCTATCATTTAAGCCATCGGGCCTCTAGTGTTTTGTTACAGCAGGGCGTGGTGTCTTTCCATATATGTATATGGTTATACATGGTGATACAGTTTCTTACATATAGTTCTTCTATACGGAAACATGTAACTCTGACTATATAAGATTGGAAGAGTGTCCATCAAAACTTCAGCAGTGGTTCTCTCTGGGCAGTGGGGTTATGGATGACTTCTTTGTGTTCTTTCTTGTCTGCCTGTATTACCTGAATTTTCTACAACAAACATGTTATTACTTTATGTTATTATTACTTACGATACTTAGTATTACCATAAGATAATTAGTATGAAATTTTCTTCTTCCTCAAGTTGTCCTCGGTCTTTGAGGCTGGGGCAGGGCAAAGTGGCCATAGTCAAGTGTGCCTGCACCTCAGAGGTTGGGGCCAGGCAGGCACTGACCACACCTTAAGCAGGACTTTTGTGAGCCTCTGCTGGCATCCTAACAAATGTTCCCCTGTGTCTTGGTCCATTTTCTGTTGCTGTGACAGAATACCAGGGAGTGGGTAGTTTATAAAGAAAAGAGGTTTATTTTAAATCATGGATATGAAGGCCAGAAAGTTCAAGACTGGGTGGCCACCCCTGATGGGAGTGCCTTGTGCTGTGTCAGGGCAAGGGGGAAATAAGCAGAAGGTCAAGCAGGTGCGTGCAGAAGAGAGGGGCAAGCCCAGGAAACGGAACTTGATTTCTAATGAGCCGCCCTCTAGGCCACTAATTCATGCCCATTAACCAAGAACCCAGCCGTTAGTCCCTCCTTCACAAAGACCAAATCGCCTCTTAAAAGCTCAACAGCCTTACCCTGGGGACCAAGACCCAGCATGAGTTTTGATGGGAACAAAACACATCCAAACCCTAGCATCACGGAAAACATGGTTCCCTGTTCCCAAAGGGTCCACTCCTGAGTGTTTGCAGCCCAGATCGAGGTTTGCAGGTGATCGAGGTTTGCAGGTGGCCGAGGTCTGCAGGTGGCCGAGGTCTGTGTGACCCAGCCGTGCATGATGGTCCTGGGGGCTGCGGCAGGGTCTGTCCCTGGGAGTTCTTGGAAGCCCATTCGGACTCGGGCCTGATGCCTGTGTTTCCGTCCTGCACAGCCCAGCTGGACATCATCTCCATGGCAGAGACGACCATGATGCCCGAGGAGATCGAGCTGGAGATGGCAAAGATCCAGCGTCTCCGGGAAGTGCTCGTCCGCCGGGAGTCTGAGCTCAGGTTCATGTGAGTGCCCAGGGGAGGGACGGAGGGCTGTGGAGGAGGAGCCCAGGGCCCTGGTGGCTGTGGGTGGCCTACTGCCTGCGAGGCACTTGGACGAAGGCATTGCATCCATTAAAAAAAAAAAAAAATCTCATTTCGTTCTCAGTATCTCTTAGAGTCTAAGTGGGTGCTATCCCCATTCAAACAAGACCCTGGGGTTGAGTTCAGGCCCAAGTTCTTTCTATGTTCCCCACTGGGGAAGGGGGTAGGGGGCCCACAGGTTGTATCCTGAGCTGGGGCTGTACAGATCACACCATCTGGGCTCAGATAGGCCCGAGATCAAAAATTGCTGGGTGAGCTTAGGCAGGTTGCTTAGCCTCTCTGAGTTTCAGTGCCCTCATGTGTAAAAGGGAAGAAAATAATACCCCTCTTGTGGGGTCCCTGGCAACCCAGGTGCGTTATAAAGGATCTTCCAAGAGAAAATTGGGCTCTGGCGGATAGTGTTTAAAAGGCAAACAAACAACAGAGGGCTAAGAGGTAATCTGGGCTCCTCCTGCCATCTTGGAGCCAGAAGAGGTGACTGGGGACAGACTTCTAAGGGTAAAAGTCTGGAAGACTTCTCTGATATAAGGATGCTGATTCATAATGAGGATGGGGGGACACGGGAGGAGTAGACGGACTTTAGATAGGGCAAAGGGGACGGAGGGGAAGGGAGGGGGCATGGGGGTAGGAAAGACGGTGGAATGAGATGGACGTCATGACCCTAAGTACATGTATGAAGACACGAATGGTGTGACTCTTCTTTGTGAATGAAAAGAGGGACATGAAAAATTGTGCTCTGTTTGTGTACTATGAATTGAAATGCATTCTGCTGTCATATATAATTAATTAGAATAAATAAACATTTTTTTTAAAAAGTCTGGAAGACTGCAGCCAATGACACTTTTGCTGGCTATGGGCAGGGTCTCTGGCACCAAAGGGGATGCACGGGTCTTCTTAAAACTGAAGGTGATCAGGCACCTGTCATCCCAGCAGTTCTGGAGGCTGAGGCAGGAGGATTGCGAGTTCAAAGCCAGCCTCAGCAAAGGCGAGGCGCTAAGCAACCCAGTGAGACTCTGTCCCTGAAATACAAACTAGGGCTGGGGATGTGGCTCAGTGGTCGAGTGCCCCTGAGTTCAATCCCTGGTACCCAAAACAAAAACAAACAAACAAACAAAACCCCTGAAGGCGCTTGTGCCTGAGGTGGCCTGAGTTCTCTACAGGCAAGACACGAGGTGTGCATAGGAAGCAAAGAGCCATGGAACACGGAACAAGACCCCATGATCCAGGAAACAGCAGGTCGGTCTGTGCCAAATTCCAAAGCCACCTTCCTGCTAAGGCCGCTGGACACAGAATCAGGGCGATGCTGTAGCACACACCCCCCCCCAGAATTTTAACCAATGAAAACTCAATAAGTCGAACTGGATTTGTGCTTCCATAATAAATAAATAAACGAAACAATAAAGAGGTGACCTTGCTGGAAAATTCTCCCAGCCCCCTGACAGCTCCTGACCCAACCTTGCTGGAAGCGGCAGGAGCAACACATCTCGCCTGTGCACCGATGTCTCACAGGCGGTAAGGCTGGGCGTGTGACTAACCCGCTTTGCAGATGGGGAGACTGAGGCTCAAAGAAAGTCAACCACCCGCTCCAGGCCTCCCAGGAGGCAATCGGGGGCGTCGGGCCTCAGCGCCCAGCTCTTCCTGCCTTCAGAATCTATATTCTCAGTATGACAGTGTTTGACCCTCTCTCCTGCCCCCTAAGAGGGACTGCGATCTTCGTAGCTGCCGTTCATTCAGCCTGTGCCGGATGCATGTGATCCCTTCTCGGGGGGAGCCCTCCGAGGAAGGTTCTGGAACATTCCTGCTTTATGAAGACGAAACATCATCCCTTTTGTCTGGAAATAAGCTAAACCAACATGCGAGCATTCGGAAGCTCTTCCTTCCTCCCCGTGTTTAGAAGGGAAGACGGAGAACACGATCACAGCTCTGCAGGACTGAGGGTCCCTGGAGGAGTGCAGAAGGAGCTCACAGTTGCTTTCCAGCTGTGGGGACAAGGTGGCCACGTTGCCCTGACTGACCTTTGCTGTGAGTGTTTACATGCACACACACGGAGGTCCTTCCCGGCACGTGGCAGGAGCTTGGCATAGAGCGGTGCTTCAGGACAAGCATAGCTAACATTTATTAAGCGCTAGCTCTGGGCTGGGAATGGTACCAAGCTCCTGACCTTTGCTCCCACTGAATTTCCCCATCGAGCCCATGAATCACCACTGAGGGACAAATGTCGATAGTAAACACTAGAATAAATCAAGTCATCTAAAGGCTCCCAGGACACAGCAGGATCCAGTGACATTGTGCAGGGGAAGGGCCAGTTTTCAGTCCCCCCCCCCAGAGGTCTTGCTAGATGCTCCTCCAGGCCCAGCCTCGTGCGGTGCGTAGCCTGCCTGGACGTGCACCCACCTCATCTATCTCAGAGATGCGCCCAGGACTCTAAGTTGGCCAAGATAGAGGACGCAGCACACTCAAAGCTGGACAAACTCCTCATCCATCTCCCTCAGCCTTCCCACCAACAGGCTGGGAGCCAAGTTCATGCAGGAATTGAGTCTTGCAGCTATGGCTCGGGACGGGTCCTTCCGTAGGTGCAGGGGCTTGCCCTGCAGGTGAGTCCTGTCCTTATGTCCATCTTGGAGAGGAAGAAAGGGGAGCCCAAGGTGATGGGCAGCTGAGCTGGAATGCACTCTGGTCCCAGGGTGTTTAGTAATGAGTGCATCAAGGAGGGAAGAAGGGAAGGGAGTGGAAGGAAAGGGAAGAAACTGAAGAAGCCGGCAGGGAGACGGGCAGGGAGGGAGGGACCGTGGAACTCCACGAGGGACATGCCCCTCGCTGTTGGGTCTTCCCAGCATCTTGAGCAGTGCCTGACACCTGCCAGCATCTGATGTCTGTCAGGTGGCCGTGAGTGACCCTTTCACACTCGTCACTGTCCCCAGTCACCTGCTGCATGCACACAGACTTGCACGGGGCCCCCCTTGGCACAGAGTGAGAGGGAGATAGATGAGCGCCATCTCAGACCCCGTTCAGCCTTCTCAAGCTGGGAGCGGGTAGCTCAAATGGCAGGCATGTGACAGCGCTTGGCGGAGACGCCCGGTGGTCATAACAACCACAGTGGGATCCGTGTGGTCACACCTGCTCTGGAGGGACCACGTGATCGTGTTAATACCCGTCAACTCCCGCGGAGCCTGGGAGCGCGCCCACATTCCACAGCAGAGAATGTCCTCTGCTTCCAAGGCCCCTGCCGGGTTCTGGGCCTTCTAGGAATGGGCCGGGTGGTGGCTGCTGCCTTCCTTCCTTGCCCCAAGGTCTAGGGCTGTTCTTTGGTGGCTCTCTTTCTGCTTTGGTCACTGTCTTGCCCTTTTCCTTTGGATCCACAGCCTTGGCCCCTTGTCCCTCCCCTCTTGCCAGGACGTTGAGGAACCAGGAGAGGGGGGTTTAGCCATTCCCAGGGAGCTCAGGAGTCAACTGGCTCCTCACATCCTTGGACTTGACCTTGGGTTCAGGGCAGAGCACAGGAGCTGCTGTTCACTGGGGCCCCTGCTGTGCCACACAGATCGCCCTGGGCACTGCATGCATTGGCTGACTTGCTTTAGCAGTTCCGGAGTTCTCACAGGAATCCTGATGGGGTCTCTCCCTGCCGTGGTGAGGGACTGAAGTGGCTTGCTCAAGGTCAGTAGCTGGAACGAGGCAGAACCAGCAGTTGAACCCAAGATGTTTGTTTTGGAGGCTGAGCCCTCAACCCTAAGCCTTTACTCCCGGTGCAGGGACCCCGTGCTCTCCGCCCAGCTTCTAGAAGGCGCAGGTGGCCTCTGGACGCATGCCCAGCGTCCCACGGCAGGGCTTGTCCTGCTTCATCATCTTGAGTTGAGGGCCTTGGAAATGGACTGGGTCCCACTTTGGCTCCTTGGACATAAGGATCGATTTTGGAGCCCAGAATGACAAGCACCATCTTAGTCAAGGTCTGTAACGTGACCTGCTGGGAACTGTCTGCAGAGCCCCATTCCTGGAAGGATTCCCAAGGACCACAGTGGTGGCACCGAGTGAGCCCTTATCATGGGCCCAGGCTCACTCTGAGTCCTTTGTGCCTATTGTCACCACGTCCCTCAAGTGCTGAGGGACAGCTGCCCCCGCTGGCCCTGCATCAGGCCCTCAAGGTCAAGTTCACAGACCCTGCTTAGATTGACAGGCTGCTATGAGTGAACCCCAGCAGGTGCGTGTTCTCCGCCCTGAATCTCCACCACTTCTCCTCTCACTGTCTTCCCTAGCTTGTCCTCGGGTTTCCAACTTGCAAAATGGCATTTTGAGATCCCTCTCCTGAGGCTTAGCAATCTTATGAACTTCACTAGGACCAAGTCAATAAACACCTTGGTCCCCTGAGCTGTCTGGGAGACAGTGCCCCTGGCTGCTTCTCCCTCCTGGCCTCTCTGGTCCAGGTCCTCCTCCTCCTGTTCTTCTGCAGGTGAGGCTCCTGGGGCTGCCAACCACTTTGCCCTCCTCTTCCTGCCCTTCACTCGGGCCCGGGCTCACACCATTAGCTCTGAATGTCTCCTGCAGCCTCTGGTTGCCGGGCTCAGCTACTCTGCCTCCACCTACCGTCCTGCTCCTGCTGTTTATCTGGGTTTCAGATAATTAAGTATCTTCAGCCTCAGAGTGCGGCGGGGGCTGGTTATCTCCACTTCACACCAGCTTGCTGGATTTTCATAAAAGGGACATGTGCCCGTCTCTTTGCTTGCTCTATAGGCAGTGGCTTCTAATCAGCATGCAGCGGCAGGGAGCTGGGCGTGCCAAGGGCATATTTCAGGAGCACAGCCCCGGAGTTCCAATATTTCTAGTGTGCCCAGCCTTGAACTCCCGTACCTTCATTTAATTAAGAAGTACCCAGTGTGATGAGGAGGTCAGGCCCTTGGAACCTGGCAGAGATTCAAGGAGTGCATGAG